TCTCTCTCTCTCTCTCTCTCTCTCTCTCTCTCTCTCACACACACACACACACACACACACACACACACACACACACACGAGGGGGTGGAGAATTATATGTCCTTCCCTCAGTAAGATTTTTCTGATCCTCAAAAACAATATAAACAAAAGTTAACAGCAGTTTATAAGCCTTGGAACTATACTTCAGTTGGCTAACAGGAAAACTGGATGAGGAGTACAGAGGATCAGCACATTGTGCTCTTGGACCAATGATGCCTGTGCCCAGATTCTCATCTTTCTATCTGGGTTTGGTGTCTGTTAGTACTTTAGGAACTGGAGCGATACCTTATCTCACACAATACAACAACCTTCACCTTTGACCAATCCAGAAGAATAGCCATCAAGCCCATTGGCTTATACAGATCAAACACACCAGGACTCCAGTTACTACTTATTGTTCAAGTTGCCACCCACCATCAAGTATGAATGCTGAATCCTAGTTAGCATTACTGCCAATGACTCTCCAATTCATTTTGTTGGTCACGACAGTAATTTCTAACATTTTCTGGATTTAGCCAAATCTTGTTTATTATCAGGAATCCCAAATGAGAAAAAAGTGAATGGAAAGAACCTATTTCTGTAATGATGGAGATTCCTTTGAGTTAATTTCTCTTTGTTTTGATCCCATGATACTTGCAGCCTCTTGTTCTTGATCAACACTGGAATTATGTTAACCACAGGACTTATGCTTACCTCCTGGCAAAGTAGTGCAATGTAGTATGAAGAGCACTGTTAGGACTAAGAAGAACTGGACTCTGGTTCAGTTCTGTTTAGGTCTGTCAACCTGAATTACTGCTGCCTCTTTACAATGATGAGGCTGTACTGGGTACTAGACTTGGGATCCTATAATAGGTCTAGTTCTCATTTGGCCTGACCAAGCAAGTTTATTCCAGATCATTCAAGACCCCAATCCCCTTAGTCATTCAGGGATTCCTATAGGAAGGTAGTGCTGCATACATGACTTACCTCCTTCAAACAGTACATCTTCTGAAAAGGCAAATGTTAACCAACATTTTATAAATAAAATCATGGTTGAAAAAGAGGTCAGGATCTAAAAGTTTTTAAATCATAAAATAAATTATCCGTAGAATAAAGCTTCCTTTCGAAATTCAAAATACTTCCCCTACTGTAGCCTTTTTGTAAGATCATAGTTTATTTTTTCAAAAAAGAAGGACTCTCTCTGTGTCCTGGGACTGTCTCCTGAGAACTGAATCTCTTTTCTCTTTTATTAATGTTACAGCCCCTGATATATTTTATCTTCAGTTTAAATTTAATTGGCAACTGTCCTAACGTGGGCATTTTTGCTTGGCATTTCATTTGGCCTCTTGGACCAGATTTATAAAAGCCTAAATGTTGTTGGGATGAGATGGTTCTATTAAAAAGAATTCTTATGTGGAGTATGAACATTTCATAAGGTTAGATGAATCTTTGGTGGCACTTGTTTAGTTTGTGTTTCTGTAAGAATAGATTCTACCTCCTTACTCTTCATTCTTTTTCAACTGTCTTCCAGAGAGCATTCACTACAGACTGCCCATTCTGGGCTCCCGGACAGCTGTCTTCCATGGACTACTGTCAGGTGCCTACAAAACCCTTCAGGAGACCCAACACTCTCCTTTGCCCAAAAAGGAGCAAATAAGCAAGACATTGAAGCAGTGAGTGGTCAGAGGTCATTATCCACCCCCAACTCTCAGCAAAAAGATAACTCCTCCAAGCTAGTTTCTGACTCTGGTGCCTTCTCATAATTTTATATCTCCAAAAAGATAATTCAATTCTGCCTTCCGAAGAACTACTGCTATTCTAGCTCTTACCACTTTCTCCTTCCTTTTTCCTAATGACAAAATGGTTTAATTTACATAAATATAAAGATTTTTCAATTAACACAGAATATGATGAGCGTGCTTTGTGTTGTTAAAGATTCTAATGCATGTTATTATATCTGACAACCTTCTGCTTATAAGACAAGGATTTTCCTTGAAAGTCATTTTGCCCATTCCTTCAGATCAGAGGGCCAGAGATAGCTCCAGGAAGCCCCATTCATTTTATTAAGAATAAAGGAGAAAAAGTAAAGGAGAAAAGGAATCCAATCACCCTTCTGTCCTTATATCTGTCAGTTAACTCTGATAGATAACAGTGGACACTATGATGTAATATCTGGAAAATGGCAAATGATTTGTTGCTGCAGTCTCTGATCACAGGAACTATGACCTACCTAGCCTTCCTGTGTCACCTTTTACTGCCTCACATTCCGATCAGGTGTTCCGCTAATCTTTGCTCAGTCAAATCCATACCAAGTGCTTATATTTTATAGTTAGTTACTTTGACTTGAAAACATGCCTCTAGGTCTGTGCTGGTATATGTGAACACAGTGTAAGGGAGACAAAAGAAAATTACGGACTTGTAAATATTATACTGATGGCTATATAGGTTACAAGCAAAGTTTCAGAAGGGGTCACATGAAAAAAAGGCCCTTTTGTTTCTTGGGCAGCAACAGCCTAGTAAAATCCTAGATCTTGCTTAAACAGATGCTAGACCAACATTTAAGAATCAACCTCTGTGCCAACTGTTTTTGAAGAATGGAATTAAGAAATCTCAGACAAATGAACCACTGCCCAGATTGAGCTCAACAAAAGCAGCAAAACTTGCTTCATTGTCTCATATTTCTAGTGGGCTATGACCCTTGTTTTCAGTACAGTTGGAGTTCAATAACTTAAACAAAGCAGTACCCGTGAATTCAGGTTTTTCAGATAGTTGAACAAACACAGAAAATATCTCTTGTTGTTTTTGGTTGTTTCTGCATACATCATGGAAGGATTTGGAATACCTACACCCATGCCTTAGGGAAATATTTGCCTCATACACAATTATTTAGAACTTTGGCGGTAGTCTGGATATTATAGAGCTTTGGAGAAGGAACTTCCTAGATCTCATTAAGATGGCCTTATTTAGAACACTGAAACATTTCCAAAATCAAGCATTAAGAAGAATATCTTGCTGTTCGCCAGTGTATTGACAGAGAGCTGCAGCTTAAAAAAAAGTAATACGAAACCATGGTCACATCTGATTCCCACTTAATTTGGGGAAGTCTTACGGGCCCCTGTTGCCATGTTCTTTGGTTAGGTTCACTTTTATTCTCCCCTGGTCAGGGGAGGCTGTTGGGGGTGTTGTTGGCTCCTTGGCCTAACAGTCTTACACATGCGAGGCTACATAGTTAACAAGTTTAATGGAACTACCTTGTCTCCTCCTAAAGAATACCCCATTTAAAGTGTCTCACTCAAGTGGGGTTGTTCAGGTTGAGGGAGATTGTAGGAATAAAAAGGGTATGAGAAGGCATGAGAAGCTTAGTATGGGTGAGATGATTTCTTCCAAGTAAATTATAATACTGCTACAGGAAAACCAGGCAGCCTACATGCAGATCTCTTTTCAAGTTTAAATTAAGATACTAGCATTGGGTTAGTCATGTGGGGAGATATGTCAGAGATGGACATCCTAATTTAGTACATTCTACCCTTAGTGCCATTGCTCTTCAGGATTTGGTTATAGGGACAAAGTAACAGGAAGCCAGCTCCCTTCTTGGGTAACCATTCAACAGAGCTACCAAGAGAGATGAGATTGCCCAACAGAAGAGAGATTTCAAAAGAGGCAGAAGCATGGGCCTGCTGTTTATTAATAACTGTAAAACAAAATCATTAAGAATCAAGATTTAGGGGAGGGGACCTGAATTTGAGCTCTAGAACACCCTTTCTTTAAAAGCTGAGTGTGATGACATGTACCTGTGATTCCAGTGCTGGGACGCTGGAAAAAGGCAGATCTCTGGGAAAGCTGGCCAGCTGGCCTAACCTGATGACAGCTTCAGTTCCAGATCACCAAGAGACCCTGTTTCACAAAACGAGGTGGATGGCATGTGATATAGGGATGATTACTGAGGCTGGCCTCTCGTCTTCACATGGACACAATGCTGAGAGAGAGAGAGAGAGAGAGAGAGAGAGAGAGAGAGAGAGAGAGAGAGAATATCAAGATATTTAAAAGCTTGAGATATACTTTAGTGTAAAGTGTTTGCCTAGCATCCAGGAGGTCATGGGTTAAAAAATCTCTAGTACTGGGGTGGGGGGAGAGAAATGAAAAAGATAGAATAAGCTAACCCTTAGAGAAAATTGGAATGATTAATTTTTTAATTTTTATTTTCTGTGTATGAGTGTATTGCCTACATGTATGTAAGTGTACCCACATCGTGCAATGCCTACAGAGGTCAGAAGAGGGCATGAGATCCCCCGGAACTGGAGTTACAGGTGGTTGTTAGCCACTAGGTGGGTGCTGGGAATTGAGCCTGGGTCCTCTACAAGAATAGTCAGTGCTCTTAACTGCTGAGCCATCTCTGTAGCCCGGGTGATAAATATTGTTTTCAGTCATATTCCACTTAAGACACCTAATTTAGCACTCAATTAAATACTGTCCTTGTTTCATACATGTGTGTTACTCTTGAAAAGTCCAGAAAAGTATAACTTAGGGAGAACATCTTACATAGTACCATATCCCTGCAGGAGCTACCCAGTATACTTGAGAGACACTTAGAATGAAGGAAGTTCATTCCTAGGTTGACCACGAATCAGAGAATGAAGCACAAGCTCCAACAGAACACACAGCAATTACAGCAATAATACTTGCCGTGTCGCTAAACAGCGTGCTCTCTAAACAGAAACAATGAGGTGACTGTGTGACCTCATCAGCAAAGTTGATCAGAGAGGAACCAGCTATAGTTACTCACACAGAATGTTATCTCTTGTTCTTTGGGAAGTCTTTGGCAAGACATTTAGCCGCCTAGTCAGTGAAGGGCAGAATAGCAAAGTGAGGAGCTGGCAGGTGACTGCTGTTTCAAGGAAAACATATTGGAATCCCCCTAACTCAATAGTAAGAGTCATCCTGTGGGGATTCCACCTGGCCAAAAAGCCAGGAAATCTGTGTTTTATAGATTCTCACCTTGAGAAAAATGCAGAGTAGGAATGTATAAAACCAAGAAAAAGATAAAGGTAACATCTGTTATCTTCCAAGGAGTGGAACTGACTGAGTGGAGGGCAGAGATCAGCAGAGCGCTTTGCACACTGTGCCTTATTTGCTCTTAGGATTTTGAACTGCTTCGGTGTTTCACTTACTCAAAACCAGAGCAGAATCAAACAAACAGCCTTTTGGAAAGTGCCGAGGAACTAATCTGACTTTGACACTGGAAACTCAATACACTAGCAACATAATTGTCTTCCTGACACTTGGAAAACACAGCCCTTGAATACTACAAAGTAATACTACAAAGTTTAGGCAAGTATCCAGCTCAAAGAATAAATTTTATTTCTGGACCCTGGACATTTTGCCGCTGAAATTCTAGTTCTAGTACCCGGGAACAAATGTTTCCTGCTTATGCAGCATTTTATACTTTCAAAGCACTTCCGCCTGTGTTCCCTCACTTTTTGAATCAGATATACAACAGGTTCTCTTTCCATTAAACAAGAGTAAAATTGTTTCACAAGATGCAAGCCATTCATCCATCCTACCCTGGGGAACTTTTACAAAAATTCTTCGTTCCACTAAAATAGACACACCTGGTTTGGTTTGTTCTGTTTGATTATTTTTGGTTTTATTTTTATGGAGGTATTTGTCAGGACTGGTACCTCTTACACAAAATCTTTGAGGTACTTCATGGCTTGGCCCACTCATGCCCTCTTTGCTGTTTGCGTTTGTTTTAAATTAAGAGCCCTAGGTTCTTTGGACTGTGATATGACTCCAATCATCCTGTTTTGACCCAGCACCACTGAGAATGAAATCTAAAGCTCCAGATGTGGCCTGACCAGATGTGGCTAAGTGGCTCAACCACTTTGCTTTTGAGTCTCCTATTGTCTGAAATTGTGTTTTCCCAGTAACTAAATCCTGAATTCACTCCCTGACAAAGACTTGCCACCAACTAAAGATTTTATCATTCTGGTAGAACTGTTCTCATGGAGTTCCTCTGCTGCTGTATTTTTTTAAGCCCAGATGCATGACACTGTAGTCCTTCGGATTATAAGATTTTTTTTTTTTCTAGATTCCAGGCAGTCAACCATCTTTCTCAATCTGGATTCTGTTATCCACTAGTCCTTCCATATCTGATCACCTGCTCTTCTTTCTCTCTGCCATACATTTGGGAAAAGAATGGGGTCAGGAATCAGACCCCAGGACTCACTTCAGAACACTCCCTTTAGATTGGGAATTCCCAAAGGCCTTGTATTTAACCTACATTTAATTACAGAAAATCCACATATTCAGAGAAACAGAAATAATAGTGCAGAAACACAGGCACACCCTCCCACCAGAATCCACACTTTTGAAGATTTTTCCACACTTACGCTATTGGCAATGCTTTTCTAACCAGTTTAAAGACATTATGATGTTTTAAACTAAATAGTTCAACTTGGAGCTCTAAAACAAACATCATTGTCTTAATAAATGTAAGCCATTCTGTTACTATCTTCCTTTAATCCATATTCACATTCCTCTATTATGGCTAGCTTTCTTAAAGTCAACTCACATTAAAGATGACACACTGTATGTTTGTGTGCTGGATAGCTTTAGTGTCAACTTGAAACACCTGGGTTGAGGGAGCCTCAGTTGGGGAATTGCCTCTATTGGACTGG